AGCCTTCAAGACAAACAGACAAACGGCTCCATCGGGGTCGGTGAAGTGGCTGCGCACCTAGCGATGCTGTGCCTCCCCACTTCCAGTGCTATGCTATGTTAACAACCTGTGTGGCTTGAAATTCTGAACTCACGCTGTTCATCAAAAAGCCCATAGAATCCCAAAGGCACAATTACTTATCCTCAGACAATGCCATGAAAAGTTTAACAGGGGCTTCGGTGTAACGCCAGTCACCTCTTGGCAGTGACCCCTACCTCTAACTCGCTGGTACCTCCCATCGCATTCAAGACATTTCCGCCCTGTGCTGTGGCTCCTGACCTCACCACCCAGCCAGTGGAACTGTGTGGGTGATGATCGCCTGCTTATGGAACAGCCAGCCCCCTCATCTCCTGTCCTGGGCAGGGGGAGAACTGGAGAAGAGAACCTGTCCACTAGGGACGAGAGACCTTGCTTCTTTCTCTGTGGACTGTCTGCAATCGAGTCATATTTCCCTACCTGTTTCACCAGCTGAGCTTCTAGTTGGGATCACGTGGCCTTCTTTGGAGCAGAGGTGATGCCATGAGTAATCTCCCAGCATGCCCTTGGCTTTCTCCGGACAGGAAAGAGGTGTTTGGACCATTTGCTGGGCTGGTCAGGTGCTGGGTTTTCCCGAACTCACTGAATCTTATCCAGAAGGGTCTTCTTCTGTGCGTTGCTTCCTTTTGAGCCCCGAGAGCACATTTTCTGGCCTTAGATTCACCCCCGGCTGTATTACGTAATTTTACATTAATCCCCCGCAGACTTCGAGGGTGTGTGGTCACTCCTCAACATTTTTTCTTTCTTTCTGAGCCCAAATTGGGCTGAGCACAGACACAGAAAAATGCTTACCACCATTCTTTCTTAGTCTTCACCTGTAATTCCTGAACCTTCTTCTTACGTATAAATGTTATTTACCCTAGAGCTTACTAGAGGAACAAAAATGGATTGAGGGGACCTTTGCCCCACCCCCTTGTATTGTTTTGAAGAGTTGAGACTTGTTTTCCTGTAGCTGACGTAATAAAGAAATTGATGGTCAGAATAAAATAGGCAGAAAAGGCAGGTTGGGCTGGGGCCACCAGGCCAGAAGGCAACTCCAAATTTCAGTACAAATCTCAGAAAACAAAACTTTCTTCGACAGAGCCGGCACAGCCCCCAAAACTAGCACCGGAGGCCAGTCTCTCCAGGCAGGACCCCTGTCTGCAGGGCAGAGTCGGGGCAGCAGGCTCGGCTATGACGCCCGCTCTGGAGCTCCAACCCGGCTCACTCCCCACCCCGCCAGAGGCAGGGGTGATGTTCGAGGCCCGGGTGTGGCCGCATGCCTGGGCTGTGGAGCCTGGAGGAGGCGGGAACGGTGCCAGACGTGGAACAAAGGCTCCGTCCGGTATTCTCAGACCAACACCGAGTCGGGGCACAGTTGACACATACCCCAGTGAGCCTGCTTTCCTCTGAATCAGAAGCCCGCTGGTGGGGCACAGATGCCGCGGAGCCTGCTCCCCTCCCTCCTCGTTCCGGGAAAATGCTGGCCACGGTCGGAACGCAGAGTCACCAGACTGGGTCCCTCCTCTCACTGTGCCCCTGCACAAGTCACTCGACGAACGAGAGCACAGAGTGGGTTTCCGGTCTCTGCAGGACAGCACGCCCGGGCTCTACCCTCCCACCCTCACAGTGGTTCTGCGCACGGACGCCATGATATTCGTGTTTCAGGATCTGCATATGCGGCTGTGCGTATCCCTTCAATTGCCTGAAGTCTCGCAGGTGGAAGAGCTACTTTGGGTATCGACTCCAAGGCCCACTGCCTAATATTGTTTCTTAAAAGTGGAGCATCTGCTCTGGCTGGTGTGGCTCGGTGGACTGAGTGCCAACCTGCAAACCACAAGGTTGTTGGTTGGATTCCCAGTCAGGGCACATGCCTGGGTTGCGGGCCAGGTCCCCACTGGGGGCCATGTGAGAGGCAACCACACCTTGATGTTTCTCTCCCTCTCCTTCTCCCTCCCTTCCCCTCTCTAAAAATAAACAAAATCTTTTTAAAAATACATGCAGTTGACCTTTGAATACCAGGGGTGTGTGGCCACTCAAAGGAGATTTTTTCCCATAAACACACAGTTGGCCCTCGGTATTTTCCATCTGTAGTTGGGAACCCACCGATGCAGACATTATGTAAGGAGCTCGAGCATCCTTGGATCTGGGTATCCATGGGGGTTCTGAAACCAGCCCCCAGGGTCAGAAGTTACACTCCGACTTTCGATGGTGCGATGGGGGTCAGCCCCTAGCCCCACCCAGTATTGTTCAAAGGTGGACTGTATTTTGAAGGCAGAGTGGGCAAGAGTTGCCAATGGATTGGAAGTATCCGGTACCTTCTGGAATTAAGAGCACGCAGCAGCCAGTCAGCTTCTAGAAGTAGCCAATAAAATCATAGCCACCATCTCCCACGGTGGGCAGGCGCTGTGCCAAATGTTTGACATGTATCTGTCCGCATACTTAATCCTGACACCGTCACGGGCACGCAGAGCTCCCTCCACGATGCCACGGACGGGAGGTGGCGGTAACAAGCCAAGGTCACACCTGGTGGGCAGCAGAGCCGGGGGTCTCCGGGGGCCCTGCTCCTGCTCTGTGGCCTGCCACCTCTGTGGCCCAGCCACAGTCCCTGCGGCCTCAAGCGGGGTGTGGAAGAGGAGGACTTCTTGGCCCCACGTCTCTCGATTTCTTTTTCCAAGATGAAAACCTCCTGGGCTTTCCACTTGTTCTCAAAACGTGTGTTTGTCTTGGCAAGTGGAGCTCTGTGGCAAAAGAAACGCTGTCACCGGCCCATAAGGCCGGCCCTGGGGGCTCCCCCGGTCCCCGAGCCCTGTCTCTCTGGGAACCCTTCCACGTAATCAGCAGCTCAGCCAAGGTGGACAGGAGCAGGCCCTTCCAGCTGCTCCCCAGGCGCCCCGGCCACAGCCCGTGTGCAGCTGTTTGGTCCTGTTTGATTCTGTAACCATGGGGTCCGGGAGACAGAAGACAATAGGAAACATCGGAGTATGATGAAGCCAAACAAGAGAACAGCAGTGGGAACTTCAAGGAAGAAGCATTAAGTGGAATTGGCTTAAAAAAAAAAAAAAACAAACTACTCATTCTCATGGCATCAAATGCTGGAATACCGTGGGAAAAGGGAAAGGGGCCATTTGAGAACTGGAAGGTGCACACAGCCCCATGGAGAGACGGGACACCAGAAAAGTCTTGGGGGAAAAATAGGGCTCCGGGAGAGATTCTCCCGCCAGCTCAGATTCGGGACATCATTGCGACTGAGGGCAGAGATGAACGTTGTGATATTCAAAAGAAGATAAAGGAAAGCCCACTGGGAATCAAGGGAAAGGAAGCCATGTAAGCAGATGCATGTTGTTCAAAACACTGGAGTGCCTTCATCTTCATTCACTCATTCATTCACTCAATCACTCACTCATTCATCTATCCATTCATTCACCCATTCATTCCCTCACTCACTCACTCACTCACCCATTCATTCATTTACTCATTCATTCACTCAATCACTCACTCATTCATCTATCCATTCATTCACCCATTCATTCCCTCACTCACTCACCCATTCATTCATTTAGTCATTCATTCATTGATCAGCAGTGGCGACTAAGCCCTTGAAGCCCCTTTGTCAGATGCTGAAGGGCGAAACACATGGGTAAAGCCAAGTTCAGTGCAGTCTTCTGAAGAGGATAAGGGATCAGTGCCTCCATGGGGACAAGCTCCGTGAGCCAGGCGGGTGGGGTGTGGGGGAGAGGCCCCTCTCGTGCATAAGCCTGCTGGCCGTCCAAACTGACTTGTGGCCACTGGGAAGGAGCAGGACCCTACGAATAGCCCCTGCCTTGGCAGCCCTGTCACAGAGGACAGAGGTCACCCACACTAGTCACCCACAGCCCCAGCCAGACTCAGGCGTGTGTCAGCTGTCCCCCTACCAGGGCCCACATCACACACTACATTCGTCTCGACCCTGCGTTGCACAGGCAGCCCCCCAAACGGGAAGCACACGTCGGCTGGCTGGTTTCTGACACCCAGCTCTCAGACGTGTTTGGAGGACCGATGAAGTATGACGTATAAAAAAATCACTCATCAACTCTACAATGCGACATAACTGTGAGCCAGATGCTGACGGGCCTGCTAAGTCACCTAGTCCAGAGTGGTCACTTTATGGATTATGAAGATTGACCCGAGGTAGCCGGCTTGCCATGGTGAAGCCACAAAAAAGGCTCGACACAAACCTGCGGGAAGCACAGGTTTTGAACGGTTGAATTCCACAGTAGCACATATTTTTCAATCCTACACAGTTTTCGCCCAATTTCCCCACAGTCGAAGCCGGACACCCTCTGCGCACCCCATTAACCAAGCAGTCTATTCCTCCGCTCGAAGAACGGTTCCAACCGGAGACCCATGAGAAGTCAAGGGCAAGCCGGACGTCACCGGGGAGCCGGGAGAGGGGCAGTGGCGAGCGGAATGGACGTGGGGAGGAGGAGGAGGCAGAGGAGGGAGGGGAGGGGAGGAGGCAGAAGGCGTTTCTCCAGCTGTCGGAGTCACTACGTGACCTGAAGGCAGGGAGCCTGGTGCTGAGGCTGGGGGAAGCCAATGTCACCACCACAGCCACACCTCACCTGGGACACTGGATAAAAATCATCCGTGGGCCTGACAATCACGTAACTCAGCAGGGTCCCCCTCCTTCCCTGGGGACCAAGAGGCTCGGAACCAAAGGCACCCCCAACTGGGGCCGTCACCTTGGCGCAGCCTGGTGGCTCCTCCCCGGTTTCCCATTTCGTACCGTCCTCATTAACCTTTTGCCTAGATGCCTTCTGCCATCAGCGACCTCAGCACTTTTCCAGAAGACCAAGAACAAAGTCAAAGAATCCATTTACAAGGAAGGATGCAACAGAAAAACACAGAGCTCATCCAAAGGCACCTGTCCGCCCCCTCCATGATTATTCTAACCCGAAACTTACCGACGGTGTCGCACGGCTCATCTTTGTGTACGCAGAAATCTGTCCTGAAAAGAAAAAAAAATAAGTCAGGGGTAGGCAGCGCCCCCGAGGGTAGAAGAAAACACTGCTGACGGATCTGGATGAGCCGGGCTGCTCACGGCAACATCACTGCTTTGGTGGCAACGGGTTACGATGAAGGCTAATGACCAGCAGCGTCTGCCCTGAGTAACCCGTCCACACTTCCACACGGAGCGCCCTGGTACCCCACACGGGACCCTGCTTTCATGGCTAAACTCTTCCACACATAACGCTCGGCTGCCAGAGGGGATCCTTACAACAGCTGAACACATTCTGGAAGCAGGCCTTTGCCAAGTCCTGGATCAGAAACAATTACTGGTCAGTATCGGCAACCTACAGCGATTCCCCCAAGAAGCTACTCACTCTCCTCGGGCGGCGACGGGTGTTAGATGCTGGAATAAGAAGACCAAAAAAAAAAAATCATTTCTAAACATCATTTTCTCGAAAGCTCCCCCAGGTATGTGGCTGTGGACAAATGAGAGAGCAGAGGCACTCAAGCCTGGTCCACTCCCTGCTCTGCAGGTACAAGGGATGCACTCTGGCCTCTGGCTGCTCACTGGTGTTAGGAAATGAGCCCTTCCTTTCCAAAACCAGACCGTGCCTGCGATTCCTTCCACAAGTCCCCACAGTCAGGAGCTGGCCAGAGCGCTGTCTGGGGCAGTGCCCTGCCGGGGGCCAGGTGAGGAGAACCGGGCCCCAGGTTCCCCTTCTTGGGGGGACCTGCGGGGTCCATAGGGACCCAGTAGAGATCACCACTCATCTTAATTCTCTGAACACACTCAAGGGCAGCTTCAGGTTTAAAAAGATGTGCTCTGAAGCCACATCTTCTCATTTCACCTTTTAAAAATCTTTTGGGACGGACGATGGGGACAGCCTGACAGGGCTGACTCTGAGCAAAACTGTCACAGAAAGCAGCCGGTCCTGCTTGGGCCGCCCTGTCCCTCACCCACGTCCCCAGTTCCTCCCCTCCGTCAGAAACTATCCTCGGGGCAAGAGACTGGAAGGCAAAATGTGACTCTCCTGACCTAACGTTTCAATAGTCACCTCTCCTTCCCCCTCTCCAATCCGCAGCACGTTCTGCTTGTATTTGACTCCGAATTGTACCCCGTGTCCGGCAGCTCTCAGCACTGCATGGGGCTCAGGGCCTGCCTGCTCCCAGGTCCGGCTTAGCTGCAGGTTCCCCCGAGAGGGCTGTCGGAGGTTCCAGACCAGCAGGTCTGAAAGATTCTGTCTGAGGTTCTGATGCACAGACTCCCCAGGCGGACAGTCCTCCCAGGGGCCCTGCAGACCAGAGGAGAGGGCGGGGCCCCGGGCCCAGGGGGCTGTGGCAGCTTAGAAGGTGACACCCCCAAACTAATGCAGGGCCTGTCAGCGACTTCCAGAAGCTTTGCCTACTCTGAGTTTCTCATTTTTCTGTTAACAAATACATTTCTATTGATCAATTTTTAAACTCTTTTAACCAAGGGAAAAAGAAAGCCTTGGAGACCTCGTGCTTTTTCATGCCCCACTCCCAAACCAAAGGAACCTCCATGGGAGTATGAAAAAGGAAGCCCTGCGACTGGACTTTTCGGTCCAGGGCGACCTTTTAGACGGCTAGTAGCAGGTCAGAGGGGGGCAACGAAGAAGCACAGAGAGGAAGTAAAACAAAATTAGGGAGAAAAATACGTTCCCTGATCTGATACCTAACTGCAACCCAACACTCTCGATCTGAAACCCTATTTGAGCGTTTCAGAGATCTCACACAAGCTCACACACACACACACACACACACACACACACACACACACACACACACGGAGGGCAAGCTGGCCCAGGAACCTGCTCGAGGTGTTGCAGAGTGAGCACCTGGATGCGCCGAGAGCCATGTCCCGCTGCCTCGCCTGGGTAAAGGGGCCACAAGAGTGTGGCCATCGGTCCACCAGACAACAGAAGAAGGCGCCTACTGCGTGTTGCTGGAGGAACTCGGTCTTCGGGCTGACGGGGGGTGGGGGGTCCTGCTCTCCTCCCCCACGGCCTCGCTGTAGGGCAGCGGCTGGTCCCCCTGGATGGACCCTGCAATGCCACCTGCTGCCTCTCCGGAGGGAGGCAGGGCGGTGAGGTGGGGTCTCGGAGGACCCAGCGCAGTGGCAGGCCTGGCTTCGGTGAATTGGCTGCCGTTTGCATCTTCGACCTCCATTGTGTTCAAGGTTCTCAGAAAAATAAACAGGACCCTGCGGGGGCAGTGCCAGCTCCAGGCATCCCAGCTCCCGAGGCGAACTCAGGACAGGCCTGCCCGTGGAGGCTGCCGAATCCACTCGGGGGATGAAAACACAAAAAGGGTGTCCTGATGGAGGTCTCCAGTCTCGGAGTCCATTCAGATGCCGCCATCCACCCCCCGTGAGAAAGAAGCCTATGCAGATCTCCGTGACGGGCCGACTTCGTGGGTGTGTGACGGGGGGGTCTCACAGGACCGCACTCAGAAGCCCCAGCCCCCAACCTGGCTTAATGCTCTGCTGTTACCATCCCCAAATTCATAGTAACTTTCCAACACAAGGTCCTGTGTTTTCACTCTGCACGGAGCCCCACAAGTTATATAGCTAGTCTGGGACGTGGCCTATTGCCTGGTATATAGTCGGGGCTTAATAAATACTGGCTCCTTGACGGAACCACTGCCATACATTTCCGGACCACTTTCAACGGGCCCTGTAAGCTCCCTGGCAAGGTGGCCTCGTCTCTCCTCCGGTCTGGGAACCTGGTAAACCTACAGTGGGGTCCATAGGTAGGCACTGGGCTCTCATGCCTGAGCACAGCCTGCAGGCGGCCCCTTGGTCAGAGGGGCCAAAGGAAGACCGCTCCTGGGGATGGATGGGGTTCTGTGGAAGGGGGAGGTTGGCAAACAGCTGGGCTGGAGGCGCCCCCTGAGGCCCTGCCCTGGGCCGGGCCTGTGTGTCCACCCCTGGTTTCTCCCCAGGGCACAGAACGGGGTTTGGGGGGCCGTCCCACTTCCTGGCTTCCTGAGATATGGAGTCAAAGGTAGAGCTGTGCGAGGCGTCGGAGCCCCGAGGCCCCCAGTCCAGCCAGGGGTCCTTTCTAGCCCAAGACGTGGCTGCAGCTGCTGGAAATCCTGCTTCTGCCGCTCCTGGCCCGGCAGCCGGGGCTGGACATGATGTCATGCTCGCGTCTCCACGGCTGGCCGTCTGCAGGGCTGGTGGGCGTCCAGGAGAACACGCTCTCGGGCCCAGCCACGGCCCAGACGCGGAGGTGGGGAGCAAAAGAAAAGAAACCCTCGCCCGGGGCCCGTGTCTGGAGAGGGACGCCGGCCCCTGTGGCCCTCAGCTTGGATCACTCGGGGAGGAAGGGATGGCTTCTCCAGAGCAGCAGCTGCCTCACACCCAATTTCCGTGTGAAAACATCAGCCCATTATTATCCCAACCCAGGGAATTACAGCTCTCCAGCTCTAATTATTAAACAATGTTTCTCGGCCAAGTTGGCTCGCAGCCCCTGCTCTGACGCTGCCTCCCCCGTGTCTGTGGGAGGTCTTCCATCTCACGTCCAAGAGGGTGGGACAGGCACCCACGGGTCGGCCCAGCAGCTCCGCAGCAGGTGATGGGGACCAGCTGTGCTCAGGTAGCTCACAAGGTGGCAGCGCCACGTGGAGAAAGGCAACGCCGGCTCCCACACCAGCTGCCATAACAGGGTGACCCAGGAGGCCTTGGCAGGGACCCCACCTGCAGATGCAGGGACCCCGATTTCCTGACCCCAGGGGCCCCCCTCCCCAGCACTTGCCACCCACCTACCGTCAGCACCCCTGGCAATGGGCCTAGTTAGAAAAGATCTTTTTTTTTTTAAGTTTTTATTGGGGCAGAACACATGTAACACAGAATTTACTGTGTTATTCATCTTTAAGCGCACGGGTCAACAGTGGCCAGCACACAGCGGCACACCCAGTGCCCAGAACGCTGTTCGCCCTGCGAAGCTGAAACTCTGTCTACAGCACAGCTCCCCACTGCCCCCTGCCCCCAGCTTCCTGTCCTGTGGGTGCGAAGACCTGAGGCATCTCACAGGAGAGGAACTGCACCCGATTTATTTTGTTGGGACTGGCTGTGTTCTCTTCTTTTCTGATGCAGAGTGATATTCCCCGGCACCCAGGACCACACTTTGTTGATCCACTCATCCACGGTGGGCACTTGGGCGGCTTGCACATTTTAGCTATTGCGAATACCGGATTTTCCTGGAAGGCTCGACACTTTGAGATTTCAGTCCTTTTCAATGGATGATGACTGCAATGATACTGGCTAACACGGACCGTGTCCTCGCTCTGAAAGGGACTTCCCACGCTCACTGAGTCCTCATGTCTCAGAAGCAGGCACTATCATTTCTCTCCCCTTTGCACTGATGGGGAAACCAAAGCTTGCCCAGGTCCGATGTCCAAGCCTGGGTCCCTGGCACCCTGCCCTCTCTCCTGTCCAGTGGGGAGTGGCTTTCCCCACCTGCGTTTTCACAGGCCCACTTTACCTGGTCACAAACACAGCGGCGTCCACGGGGGGCGTGTCGTCCTTCCCTCCTGGGACCTGGTTGTTGCCGAGGTACCGTGCGCCCCCATATTCCTCATTCTGCCAGTGACAGAAGCTCTCCAGGGACCGCTCCCCATGGTGCCCGATGGACAGCTTGGCCTGAAAAAAATCAGGGGGCATTGAGAGAAGCAGAGGCCCGAGGAAGGCAGAGTTCACACTCAGGCTACAGAGCAGAGGACGGCTGCTCTCTGGGTCATCGTTCCGTGATGCACTTGCCCAAATACAGACCCAGCGAGGGTGGGCAGATGCCCAGACCGAGGCCACCACAGGTCTCCTTGTAAGTTCCCATGAAGACTACGTTACTAAAGGAAAGTGCCCTTCTTTTCAGCAGACTGAACGTAATGTACCCAGTCTTTCATTGTCAAGTTCATTGCTTGACTCTGCAGGTAGCACTGTCACGTGGGAATGTACTACATCAGAAGACCAGGGAACAATGCTACAGGGAATCCACAGGCGTGCTGGAGCTCAGGTCCAGCTCCAGAAGGGAAGCCAGAGTTCCGGAGGCCTCGCCGCCGTCCCGCTCTGCACGAGTGAGGCGTGCTGGGCAGAGAAGGTGGGCACACAGGCTTGGGGTTCCCTGCAGATTCCCAGCAGACTGCGTGCGCCCTAAGCAACCTGCCCTCCTGCCCCCAGACAGCCCGGTCCCTGGCCCACGGCACACTGTTGCCATCTGCAAAGCCAGGGAGGGTGGATAAAACAGACAGACCCCTAGACTCCTCCTAAGCCACCAGTGGCAACTAGGAAGTTCAAGACCAGTTACACTTTCTGTGTGCGGGGCCCCAGTGGGGACTTACAGGTCGCTGCCGCAGCAGGACAAGCTTGGTGACTTGAATGTTAACTTTAATTCCAAGGCTCTGGTGCTGAAACATATTGTAAACCTACCAAGAGAGAAAAAGAGAAATACAAATGTCAATATACAATTTTTTAAAAAATACAGAGGTATCCTAATTGGGATTCCTGGAACAGAGAAGAGATGTTGGGTAAAAAGTATGAAAATCTGAAAACTATGGACTTTAGTTAATAACATATCAATATCAATCAATGAGTAATAACAAAGATAACTAATGTAAGATGTTAATAGTAGGTGAAACTGTATAAGAACTTTCTGTTCAGTTTTTCTATAAATCTAAAAATATAAATGAGTAAAATGAGTTCATTTTAATAAGTAAATCATAAAACATAAATTCTACTTCACTCAAAATTATATTAATTAAAACTTAGTGTTTAAAAAATAGCTGTGTTCCTCCGGTACAAAAAAAAATCTAAAGACAGTCTGATTATAGGAAATTCAAATTTCAGTGTTCCTAGGTAAAGTCTTATTGGAGCAAAAAATAGATATGTGTGTGAAAAACAGAATCCAGATTTTATTAAAAATGCCTCTGAGACCAAAGCCACCCATAAATATGAATGCCCCCCCAAAACATGCGTATGATAAAAAACTCTGGAATCACACACATTTACATTCAGACTATATACACAAAGCTAAGCCAGAAATCAGCTGGTTAAAAATAATGTACAGAACAGGTTACTCTGAAAAAAAAAAAAAAAAGAAAGAAAGAAATGCATGTTAGATGACCCTGGGCTCTCATGAGGGACATCCAAGGGGACCTTCACATGCCCATGGCCAACTGCGCGGTGCCAGCCTGAATCACCTGTAACCCTCCGCACGACCCACCATGGCTCGGAATTCCACCGCAGCTCATCGAGATAAAGCCCCTGCTCAATACCCACAGCCAGTCAGTGACGACCCCAGTTCAAATCCAGGCTTGCCCAGCCAAAGAGACCACCTTCCCTGACGTCCTCACGCTAACCAAAGGTCATCACCGAGACAAAGTCAGAGTAACAGAAAAAGAGACGAGCCTCTTAATTTTGCACTTCTTGTTGGTATAACTTTGTTAAAAGGACTTCAATAGCAAGAAGCCAAAGGAAGGTGTTTCAAAGGAAAGAGACAGAAAATCTCCAATAACCGACATGGTTAGAAAAAAAGCCCGTTGCATTTGAGGGTCCCCAGGCCATTACGTCCCCTCCTGAGTTCCTTTTCCATGATATGCAAAAAGCTGGAGGTGGGGGGAGCGGGCACAGTGGGGAAAATGATGAAGGCAGAGCGGGAACAGGACTGAGAACCTCATAAATACATTTGTTAGTTTCATTACGTCCTGTGGCGTGTTTCTCTTCAGTTTTATGAGATACCATTGACTTAAAACACTGTATTAGTTCTAAGTGTACACCAGGATGACCTGCTAAAAGGAGAGCATGAAATGTTTACCGCAGTAAGTTTAGCTATCACCCCTCACCTCACATAATTATAATTCTTTTTCCTTGTGATGAGAGTTTTTAAGCTCTACTCTGTAAGTCACTTTCAAATACCTCTGACGGTATCATTAACTATAGTCACTGTGCTGTGTGTTACATTGCCAAGTCTTACTGATGTTTTACGGCTGGAAGTTTGAAATTTTTTAAAAAGATTTTTACTTATTTTCAAAGGGAGGGGAAGCGGGGAGAAAGAGGGAGAGAAACATCAATGTGTGAGAGGTACATCGATGGGTTGCCTCTCTCACGCCCCCAAACTGGGGACCTGGCCCACAACCCAGGCATGTGCCCTGATCGGGAATCAAACCAGCAACCTTTCGATTCGCAGGCCAGCACTCAATCCAAAGAGCCACACCAGCCAGGGCATGGAAGTGGAATTTTTTACCCTTTCACCCATTTTGCCCACCCCTTAACCCTCTGAAAACTGCCAAACTGTTTTTTGTATCCATGAGTTCAGTTTTTTTAGATTTCACATATAAGTGATATCATACACTACTGTTTTTCTCTGACTTATTTTACTTTGTTTTGAATATTTTTTTTTCTGGTAGACATAACCAAGAGGGAGAACATTCCAGAAGGGGCATTAAAACTTCTTCCAGCCCTGGCTGGTATAGCTCAGTGGAGTGAGCATGGGCCTGTGAAACAAAGCGTTGCTGGTTCGATTCCCAGTCAGGACACATGCCTGGGTTGCAGGCCAGGTCCCCAGTAGGGGGCGCACAAGAGGCAACCACGCATTGATGTTTCTCTCCTACTCTTTCTCCTTCCCTTCCCCTCTCTCTAAAAATAAATAAATAAAATATTTTAAAAAAACAAAACCAAAACTTCTTCCAGTCGGTGCTGTGTTCATCAGCACAGGGCAGCAACATAAAACAGTGACTGCCGCAGCCAGGGTGGCCACGGTTCACTCGGGCCAAGTGACACTGGACGCGGCGTGTAGCGCACAAACGTCACAGGCAGGCACACGCGGCAACGGAGCATCCGTGGGGCAAAGGAATGAGTTGTGTCACTGCTTGAGTTTACTCTCTGAAACTATTATTAAAGCAAAAAGAAAAAAAAACCCTGTCATTTAATACTCTTTCCCACAAGGAAAAACAGAACACATTCAGTTATTCTGTTTCTACTTTTCTCTGCCCCCAATTTCCTTTCCTCCACAACAAAATAGCAGTCATTTTTTATACCGGGCCAATTCTGAAGTCATGTCTTAATCACCTATCCCCAAACCTGGGGGAAGAAGGGGAAAAAAAAAAAAAAGAACATAGAACTTTTCCCTTGTTTTGATATTTTGTGAACCACCCAATGGCTGTAATTCAAATTTTTGCAGAAATATTCAGCATGAGGATTGGGCCCAGACAGGGAAACCTCAATTCAAAACATGGAAACGAGGAAGAACGAAACCCTGAAGTCAGGGGGGAGGAAATTTGAGTTGCGCGTGGTTTCGATGCCTCCGACCGCTGCCTGGAACGTGGACGGGGCCGAGATGCGGATGAACACGGCAGATTTGCAGAAAGAGCGCAGGAAAGCAGCTCCCCGTGGCATTCTGACATGCCGCAGGGAAGACGGATCAAGAACCTACAGAGAAGAACGCATGGCGCGGGAAGGACAAACTATAGGAACAATCTCCCCTTCCTGATATCTGATATTTTTTGTTTGCATGCTAGGCTGGTAACGGTTCTGTATTCTCCATACACCCCCCTGAAAGGCTCAGTAGCTTCCCTGGAGCAAATGCACCAAGAACAAAAAACAAACAAACAGAAAGAGTGTGATGAACAAGAACAAGTTCCGTGCTCCGAGGGCCTGGGAGGGAGGAGAACTGGGGAGCTGCCGTTCAGCCGGCAGGTTGCAAGATGGGTTGCTTGCAAACTTAACAACACGGAACTGTACTGTTAAAAATGACTAAGATGGTAAGTTTTAGGTGTACTTTCCCAAATTAAAAATATTTAATCAACTAGGGGGAAAAAAAGAGCGCTCTAAACAGCACTGTGTGAAGCGTGCAGCACAGCGCTTCCCCTGGACAAATCGGCCGGGCGCTCACGTCCGCGAGAGCAGGTACAGAAGCCCAGCCACAGCTCAAGGGCCGCCTCCCCTGACGGGAGCTGGACCAAGCTCCCATGGCGCGCAGGGCGGACGGTGTGTGGGACCTCCCTGGCAGCCCAGTGCCCAGCCGGGTCAGCCAGACGAAATCGGACCGCAGCCACAACACACAAAGCCGCAGGCCTCAAAGCCATGCAGCTAAGTCTCCCCGACTCTTTATTTTTCCCATGGAAATTCATGCTCAGGAGAAGTCTGGGAGGCAGCGGCCATCGGATGCTGAGGGAGACACCTGGTTGAGCAGGGAGCAGTGCGGCCAATCGTCTGGAAAGTCTGTCTCCGGCGTCCAGCCCTGGCTGCGCCCTGGCAGGTGTTCAGAGCCCTGGCTGCAGCTGTCACATTTCCTTGGCAGCCTGGGGGCCAAGCTGGGCAGACCCACTGCCAGCCGCATGCCACCATTCTCCTGGCTTGGGCGACGCGGGGACATGGTCAGGGAGGGGCAGACACGGAGCAGAGACGGAGCAGCGGACAGGGCCACCTGGGGAGAGGCTGTTCACAGGCCAGGAAGGGTTTCCACAAGCGCACCCCCTACCTGCGTGACTCAGGGCCTCCCTGGGGCAGATGGGGACTGCAAATGCACTCTGGAGTCACACAGGGCACCGGTTCAGACCCCCTCCCAGGACGGGAGGCGTTCCCTCGCACAGTGCCTCCCAGTGGGGTCCCTGGGGCAGCAGCCCCAACACCGCCTGGGTGTTGAGAAATGCCAGACCCATAGGATCAGAGACCCTGGGGGTGGGCCCGGCCACCTGCATTTAACAAGCCCCCAGCGGCTTCCCAGGGAGGCTGCTCTGACACCGCAGCATTTTCTCTGGTCACCAGAGAGGCTGCCTGTCTGTTCTGCATGGTAATTGAGTGAAACTGATGTCATGCTCGCTCCATACAGGACTCGCCTGGAACGTCTCAGGGTTTCACTCCACCCTGGTTGTTAAGGAAGCTGGAAACAACCCGAGCTCTGTGAAGGGGCCCCATTTTCCAGCCGGGCTGCCCAGGCCCAGGCCTGTGGTGTCAGCACCACCTGTCCCCGTCCACAGTTGGTCCTTTAAAATACCCCCACGCTCCTGTGTCACCCCCACCCCCAACCAAAGGAAAATCAAGTTATGTATGGAAACAGCACACTGCAGAATATTTGGAAAAATCAATGAAAGCTGGGGCCACAGCATCCTTTCCCCGTGCTCCTGGGCAGGTGAGCGGTTTGCTGGGGACATGGAGCCCGGAGCAGGACTCCACTTCCCTGGATAAGAGCCAGGTAGGGGGGTCTTTTAAAATGCAAATCAGTGGGTGCCCTGTTTCAACCGCTGCAGGTGCTGGGAGTGGTCCCCACGCACCAGCTTGTGGGGTGGCGGGGCACCTCTCGCCCAACCCCCACTCTCCCCATCACCCAGCAGGAACCGCCTCTTCCTGTGCCTCCCAAAGGTCAGATGGACCCCTTCCTGTTCTCCTTGATGGATGGGGCGCCCGTGAAGGCCTCAGTCACTCGCACTCACCTGGACCTTGGCAGCGGTTTACAAAATCTGCACATCTTCGCCAACACTGGTTAGTTGTTTTTTTTCTTTTAAACACCAGTATCCCAATGAGTGTGATATCACACTGCAGTTTGGAGTTGCATTTCCCTGGGGATTAGTGACATTAAACATTATTGGCCACGTGTATCTCTTTCTTTAGGAAAAATGCCTATTCAAGTCCATTTTGAAATCAGGTTTATTTGTTGTCAAGTTTTAGGAGTCCTGTATATCTTCCAGGTATTATCAGATATGTAATTCGCAAGTTATTTTTCTCCCTTTTTACTCTGCTGGTTGTGGCCTTTTATGCACAAAAGTTTTAGAATTTGATTAATTCCGATTTGCCTATTTCTATTTTTGTTGTCTGTGTCATATCCAAGAAATCACCGCCAAATCTGACGTCATGAAGGGGACCCTATTTTTTCTCGGAGTTTTATGGTTTTAGCTCATATATTCAGGTCTTTGATCTATTTTGAGTTAATTTTTGTATATGGTGTTAGGCAAGGGTCCAACTTCATTTTTTTGCAGGCGGATATTCAGATTTTCCGGCGCCATCTGTTGAAAGGGCGGTCACTTCCCCACTGAGAGGTCTTGGCACCCTTGCCGAAAATCACTTGACCACGCCATGTCAGGGTTTATTTCTGGGGTCTCTGGTCTGTTCCTTTGGTCTGTATGTTCATCTTAATGTCAGTACCACACTGCTGTGGTTACTACGGCTTTGTCCTGAATTTTGGAATCAGAAAGTGTAAGTCCTCCTATGTCCTTCTTTCTCAAGGGTTTTCTTGGCCACTCAGGGTATGTAGTTTGAGACTCCACGCAAATTCCAGGATGGGTTTCTCTGTTTCTGCAAAGAAAAATGTCGTCGGGATTTTGCCATTGTTTTTCTATTCCTTCCTTTATGTGTCTCTGGGGTAATCTTCGTGTCCTCCCTTCTGCCAGCTTTGAGTTGAGTTTGTTCTTCTAGTTCCTTAAGTTGTAAAGTTAGACTGTCTATTTGAAATCTTTCTTCTTTTTTAATGTGAGAATTTACAAGCTATACGTGTCCCTCTGAGCACTGCTTTTGCTGTGTCCTATCAGTTTCTGTAAGTTGTGTTTTCATTTTTATTCATCATTATGTATTTTCCCATTTTCCCTGTGATTTATCCCTTGACCCATTGGTTGTTTAAGACTGAGCTGTTCAATTTCCACATACTGGTGAGTTTTCCGGTGTTCTTTGTTGCTAATTTCTCACTTGACTGTGCTGTGCTCAGAGAAGATACTTTGCATATCTTTGAAATCTGTTGAAAAGTAATTTGTGGTCTGACATGGTATATCCAGTTACCATGTCCCCTTGAAAACAAGGAAGATTTTGTTGTCGCTGGGTAGAGTGCTCTGGACGTGTTAGATCTAGTTGTTCTTCACAGTGTGGTTCAAGCCCTGTCTTTCCTTGTTCATCTTCTGTCTAGTTGTCCTGCACGTCAGCAGCTGAAATCTCTATTATCATAGGGACTGTATATATGTCCCTTCAGTTCCATCAATGTTGGCTTCCTAGCTTTTGATGGTCTGTTATTGAGTGTGTAAATACTTACAACTATGACATCTCTTGCTGTACTGAACCTTTTAGTGATATACGATATTCTTCTTTATCTCATAATATTTTGAGTAAAGCCTATTCTGTTAGATATCAGGATAGCCTCTCCTGCTCTGGAATTACTATTTATATGGAATATACTTTTGCATCCTTTTGTTTCCGAGTCATTCGTGTCTTTAGAACTGAAGTGAGTCTCTTGAAGACAGCATATCCTTGGGTTGTGTGTGTGTGTGTGTGTGTGTGTTGGTTTGTAATCCATTCTGCCAATCTGTCTTTTGATTGGACCATTTAATCCATTGACATTTAAGGCAGTTACTGATAGGAGGGCCCTTGATTCTGCATTTTGCTACTTGTTTCCTGTACACTCTGTAGGGTTTTGGTTCTTGGGTTTTTCTGTCCCTCATTCCTGCATTACTGACTTTTTTTGTATGTAGTTGATTTTTCAACAGTGAAACTTTTTCATTCCCTTACCATTTCCTTTTGTGTATATTATACAGCTATTTTCTCGGTGGTTACTATGGGGATCACATTTAACATCCTAAAGTTATTACACTCTAATTTGAACTTATACCAGCTTAAAATTCAATAGCATGTCAAATTTTGCAACAAGCTGGTTTCTACAAAGCAAACATATGGAATTATAAACTAAGAGCAGGACCAGCAAGTCAAAAGCAGGCTGCCCTGGTAAAGACAACAGGCTGGGCTTCCCAGAGGGGCCAGCAATCAGCGAGCTCTATGGAGAGTGGGAAGAAGAGTGTTCCTGGGCAGACCGTGAGCCTGAGGTGCCTGGGAGAGGGTGGCTGGACCAGCAGGAGCCAGTCCTGTGGGGGAAAAGGGAACAGAGCCCAGAAGAAGCAGGCAGACCCTGGTCCCACGGCCTCAGGGGGCCAAACCAAAGGAGGGGTTCCCCGTCAGGGAAGGGGTTCCCCACGAGGGAAGCCACCGGGGGGGAGTGGGGGGCAGGGACTTAGCTATGCTAGGTGACAAAGTCTGCCTTCTGTTGAAGGAACCTCTTATTGGCCATCCCACAGCAAGGGTTCGCAGGAAGGAGAAATTGAAGGGAGGAGGCCAGTAAGGCAGCTCCTGCGGTTGTCAAGCCAGACACGCCTGTCACCTTGAACAAGGTGGGCTGGGGCCTTCAGCCCTGGTGTGGGCTGTCCCCCTGCCCTGTGGTCATGGGTTCTGTGCCCTGGCCCTGCCTGCAAGCCTCCGTTCCTTCTCTGTAAAATGCAAATGATGAAATCCACCAGGCAGGTGGAGAAGGGACAGGAAACCACCCAGCTTACCATCTGGAGGGCCTGGTTCACCCCAGACATCCCCTTCCTCCCCTCCTTGGAAGCACGGACCATCCAGCCACCAACCGGCACTGACCGCATACGTCACAACAATGAGATGCTATGAAAACTGGGGGCAAACACCTGATGCCAGATTCTCCCAGCCTGAGACACACTGTCACCCGCCAAGGCCCTACCAGTCCCCTGGCTTGCCTTGGGGACAGGGGCTCCTCTGTGGTTAGGCCAGGGGGTCAGAGCGGCACCCACGGGTGAGCAGGCCTCTGCCCACAGACACCCGTGGGGGTGTGCTGGGGAGGAGGTGGTGGCCTGGATGTCGGCACCAATGGCCCTGCATCCTTCTCAGAAACCAGGGCCAAGCACCAGTAAAAGTTACCAAAAGCAATTCCACTTCTGGGTACATGCCTGGAAGGAAATCGAAGCGGGGACACACACAGGCAGCCATTCTCAGCCGCAGTTCTCAGCCGCACCACTCACAGCAGCCGAGACATGAAAGCAACCCAGCATTCACCGACAGACAAACGGACAAACAAAACGCAGCCATACACACCATGGAAGCACACACGGCCCAGAAAAGGAAGGACACACACATGCAGTGGCCTGACACACGCTACGACACGGACACACCTCGAGGACACTGCGCTCAGGGACATACCCAGCCACGGAGGGACAAACACTGCACGACTCCAGTTGTGTGAGCTTCCCCACCTCCCGCCAGGCCTCAGCACCGCACGTGGCAAGCCCTGTTTTACGTTCAAGTTCGACCTTGACTCCTCCTCCTAGCCTGGACCCCATGCAGCAGGGATGGGGCGCACTCAGGGTTGAAGACCACAGGAGGGGTCGCACGCACAGCCAGGGTCTCAGGCAGCTTCTGGAAGGGGGAGGCAGCAGGGCCCACTCGCTGAGCGGACCCAGGGAGGAAACCGCTGCACGGTGGCTGGTCAGCGGGCAAGCCCTCCACCAAGGGGACACCTGTCAGCCCTGCACCGTCCTCACTGCCCAGGGATGACAAGGCTGTGTGTGTCACCACCCCCACAACCCTGCTCTTTCCCTAGAAGAAGAGACCACCGTGGCCAGAGCACTCAGCCCAGAGGACACAGAGCCCGCCCGGGTCTGGACCCAGTCTGTGGACTCACCATGTTCATGACCGTGAGGATGAACCTCTGGGCGGCCTCGGCCCCGTGGTACTGCACCATATCGGCGTCGGCCACCACCAGCGTCTCCACCGTGTGCTCGTTGGTGAGCCGGATGGCGTTCCTCCGCTCCCGCCAGTCCCGGGAGGGCCTCCCCTTCCACGGCTTCTTCTTCTCTAGAAAACAAGGAGGACGAGAGTGCAGTCCTCGGCGCTGTGATTTCCAAAACCACACAGAGCACAGTCCTCCACGGAGCACCCCCCAGAGAATGGTCCATCTCCACGGGCCAGACGGTGGCTGGACGGCTGCCATCCTGGGGAGCCTGAGCTGTCTCCTTGGATTCGGTCCTGACGGGCGGGAGCGAGAGCGCTCAGGAGACCAGACGGCCAGATGACTCACACCCACCCACCCTCACAGCGAAGGAGGCAGGTGGGACTGAGCAACATGGGAGAGAAAACGTGTCCCTTCAATGGAACATGGGGAGCAGCACGAAGTCAGTGGAGGGAAGGGAAGCCTGGGCCCGGTGTGGGGGGCAGGGAGGAGGGTCAGAAAGCGCCGCCAGTGGACCAAATGGAGCCAACACAACTTTCTGCAAGGGTCGCACCCTCTGCTGGTACCTGGGACCAAGGAAGCAGACGTGGGGGACACCAACGGGACAGTCCCTTGGGGGCTGGCATTCCAGCCACAATTCTGAGAGCCATCAATAAAGACTCACAAACGTTCACAGGCACAAAAGCATTATTTAAAAAAAAAAAAAGAAGAAGAAGAAAGGTAATCAGGCCAAGATTACAAGACACACACATCCAGGCCAAGCTGCATGGGTGTCCTTTAAAAAAGGGATGTCGGTAAACGTGCGGACAACCCTCTGTGTTTTCTCTGCAGATAAACTGGTTCCCCGTAAGTTCTCACTCAGAGAAACCGCTGTTGCTGTTCATCAGAGCCCACACCAGAACACCCAGGACGACGTGGAGAGCATGCACTCACAGCGTCCAAACGTGAATAGGAAGGTAGCTCTTTAATTCGATAATTCTTACCTCCATTTTTAGCTCTAGCCCACACGGAAGCCATCTGTCACAATTTCCGCTCACTCCACCCAGCCTCTGTGCGGACATTACCTACCATGCACATTTTAATTATGTCCTGCCTAAGGTATTTAGTTACTTCATTCATTTACTCACACATTCATTCATCCGGCACGAGGACAGACTCTAAGCACCATCTTGGGTTGCTTCTTAGCATAAAAGATGTCAGGTGACTTACTCCCAAAACACATAGATTAAAACCAAACTAGACAAAAGGAGAAATTAAAAAACAAAGAAAATAAAATACAAATACAGCAAACAGAGAAAGTCGACAGGGCCGCCCTGGTGATAAAAGTCTCCATAGGTCGTACCCAAGTCAAGCATGCAGGGCCCTTAGGACATGCCGCCCACATGGCTGACCGTCCCTCTCCGGGACCCAGGAGTTGTGACCGTTGTCACCCACACCTACGGATGAGGCACAGAGGCACGGAGAAATCTGTGAACCCCTTGCTCAAGGCCACAAGCCCAGCTGCCTGGGATTCCAGCCCCTGCTGCCCAGCCCTGTCCGATCTGCCTTAGAATCCGCTTCTGAGTTTCCTGACATCAGGGACCATGTCTCTTCAAGGGCAACATGCGGGATTGTCTGTTTTGCCCCTGCCCTCCAGGAGGAAAATACCACTCCTCAGGGGGGGGGAAGGCGGTGTTTTCCTAACGCCCGCTTCCACAGTTAAAATGCCGACTACGACTTCCCGCAGGGCCCGCTCAGTGATGTGCTCAGTGGCATTTTCAATGTTTTATGGAGAATGTGATCATGAATTTCGTTTACTTATGCAGAAACCCAAGGTGCCAAGGGTCAATGGAGCCATGGTTCTGGGCTTGCTGGGCATGTGGATGGGTTTTCTCCCTTCTGTACCTGCACATCGGAACTAACTCCAACCTAGAGACCTACAAATCGGAAGTCACTGTGGGAACAGCAAAGTCTCCCGGGGCTCACTAAGCCCGCGACTGTAGCTCTGGGTTCACTCCAAGTGCTGAGATCTCACTCCCCCAGGCAGCCCACTGCTGGTGGGAGATCCAATCTGCCAACCTTGGGTGGCTTGGAGTACCCCCCCAAACCCCCTGCTCCCCAGATCTTCTCCAAACTCTGCAGATATTACTGTTTACTTTGCAGTCGAACATGGGTCTGTACTTGCCTCCTGAGCTCATAGTCTGTGAGCTTAAACACCCAAACATCAGCCTTGGGACCCACCACAGCGTCCACAGCTCTGCCTGGAGCATTAAGAGGGACTCCAGAACTACCCTCAGTTGAATGAATTTTTTAAAAACCTCTTCATAATTCCTGATTAATAACAAGATTACTTTCTAGGGCACTTAACATAAATGTCCTGAACTTAAATGCTCACAAGTTGCTTCTTCCAACTAAGGAGGTGGCAAAGCTCATTGGGAGAAGCCCAGCCAGCTTTGGTTAGAATCTACGCATGGCCTTCCGGGGAGACCATGGGCTCATTGCCTTGTCTGTACCACAAAGTGGTCACGGTTCCACTCACTGAGGGGGCACGTGCCTGGCCTCCAACACAGGGTCAGGAAGATAGAAAACCACACACCCAAATTACACTGCTGGTCACCCGTCCCTATCATTCATTACCTTACTAATCATTGCCATCAGTGCTAGTGTCCAAACACTAATTTTTCAACTCTGCAGGCTCCCAGATCCAAATAGGGATCCTGGCTGCTTGTGTAAATCCCGCAGAATTCCGAGAAGCCGAGTTACCCGTCTACCCAGAACCTCTCGTCTCGGCTCTCTCCGTCCAACTTGTTGCCTCGGCCATTTCTTACTGGGCACAGGGCATGAAAGAATCCCTCTAAGACCATCCCCCATCATGCAACACCGAGATATATAAAAAGAACATTTTCGAGAGGAATGGGGGAGTTGCCTGTAACTCTTGCTCAATATCCCAACAGACCGCCCAACATTCCCGAGGGGGGACTATTTTAATCAGCAGGCACATGAAACATGACTGTACAGGAATCGGCTACCTAAAGCACCCAGCATTAATGATCTTTCCCATCAGGTGCAAAAATGGAAACTGAATGTTTTTCATTAAGATGAAAAGCAGACAGGGAGTCCGCCTCCTTGGGGGAGAGACCCACCGCCGCCTCACCAACCCTTTTTCAGGACACCAAAGCCACTGCTGCCACGGCTGCCACTGCATGAAAAGCAGTAACATACGTGCTTTCGAGTGCATGTCCAAGGGCCTCGCTGTCTTTCACCATTAACTTTCCTTAAAGCAGCAGCCCTGGGTGTGATGAAAGTACCTCCAGGCTGGGAATTGGGAACTCCAGATAGTCACCTGGGCCTGATCCTGAGGTCCTTCCTACAAGGTGCCACTGAACACGAGGGGCTCCATCTCCTGAGCCATCGGCCTTTGCTCCCAGCCCTCTCTTTTGCATGGGGTTCTGGGTCTGGCAGCCGGGGAACTACATTTCCCAGACCCCCTTGCCAGCAGGCTTCCTGTTCAGCTCTGCTGGGGGGGGGGGTACTAGAGAGAGATGGGAAGGCAGCAAATGGGGAGACGGGGGAATGGGGCTCCCTGTGTTTTCAGCTCCAGATGGCACTATTCCAGCAGAACTGGACAACTACGGCTCCAGCCTCTGGAGCTTGGGGAGACTCCAAGCCCAACCCCCCACCTCCCTCAGGGGTACATCCACAGGGGCACCACCTTTGCTATATGCCTTGGTGGTCTGATGCCCCTCAAAGGTCCAGGCCCCAGCCCCATAGACCAACCCTGCCCCAAACTCTCTGGCCCTGAAAATGCACCTCTTCCCTTTTCTCTCCCCATCCCCCTGGGGGGACAGCTGTTTCCTGGGATACCTCGGCCCCCCTTTTGTTCATGCAGACTGGGACCCGATTCTCTCCGTTAGAAACACCCAGTATGCTCTCAGTGGCCCTGGCTAGATACTAACCGATAGAGCCTAAAACGAGAGGGTCGGTCCTTCAACGACATTCTGTAGTTCTTTCAAGCCTCAAGGGTCTTTGCTAGTTCTGGAACTAAGGACTCATCTCTTCCCCAGGGAAGTATTCCGATACTGGACATGCCCTTCCACAGGGCGGAACAATGCCACAGAAGGAGCGCCACCCTGTGCGCTGGGTCGCCATTTCACAAAAACCAGCCGATCAGGTGTCCCGTGGGGGAAATGCAGGATTTCACCGATGCCTGCCCTAGATTCCTCTAGACCCTGTTGCTGCCACATCCAAGGGACCTGGGGACAGTGTCTCAGAGAGTCCGAGTCAAGGTCGGGAAAGAAACAGGAGCCACCAGTGAGCTGGCAGCGGGTTTCCAGGTTTTAAAGGCTGCACGCTCACACACAGACTTACAAATGCCACACTTTCCGATAAAGTGCTCAGGCCCTCCAAAATTGTTTTCTGGTCACTTTTCTTTCTTCAGCCCAAGCGAAGGGTCCGTGGGTACAGAAGCACTCCCAGCCAGGTGAACGCTCCGGCAGCTGCGTCAACCCAGCATCCTTGAAAAATAAGGGCCTTCTATTTTCTTTTTTCAAAAAGGAAAAAAAAAGTTTTGCTCTCCAAGGATAAATTCTTTAAATAACTTCCCCAAGGCCAGGCCAAGTCATTTTTATAAAAGGCAACTTTTGCGTGTAAATTCCTTACAAAGAAAGGTGACAAATAGAGCCTTTTTTTTTTCCTGGTTAAGATCCCAAATGAAGAACTGGTCAACTCCGGAGGCCCAGATCAGTGCCTGCACTAGGCAGGGAGTGTGACCCACACCCTGGTCTGGGACGCGGCAGGTAGCAAAGCCGGGCTGGCCCCACCTGACCTTTCCTCCCAAGGTCAGAGCCATGTCAGTACCCAGCTGCCAGGCACCACTGCCTGTGGGTGAGGTGGGAAGAGACTCAACCCACAAACATGACCGAGAGCTACTGTGACCTATAGGCACTGCCGAAGTGTAAGTGACCCTTTGGGAGGGCTAGACGTCAACCACATGAACAGAGGAATGTGTAAGTGTGACAATCACTTGCAAGAAAGAACTGGTAATGTTCCGTGAGGCTAGAAAAGAGGGATTCTAATTTAGACTGGGTTCCTTGAGGAAGTGACACTCCTGGGCCAACACTCTAAGGGTAAGTCCAAGTTCAGCAGC